CACACACGCACGCACACACACACACACACACACACACACACACACACACACACAAACACACACACACACAATACATACATCACTATGTCATATACATATTTACATAAGAGATATCAACTATCACTTGTGTTCATATCAAATGCCATTCAGGAAATTTTACACAAAGTCAGCTTTTGAATTCAAGAAAAAAAAAAATCTTATCTACAAGCAGTAGGTAGTGTGAACAGGTGTGCGACTCAACAGCTCTTTATAAATTCAAATCAATATTAAAGTAGTAAAATCAGCCATGTACATAACTCTCTTATAAAGATATCTCCTCAAAAAACACTTTGATTGTTTATCAAGAGCAACTTTCACCTTTATAGAAGTTTAGATTCGTTTCAAAACTATCGATAAATCTGAATTAAAAAATATAGACAAATTAATCTAACAAATCTAACTAAATAAGTAATCAATATCATCATAATGGATGAGGATGGTGTGCGTAAGCAATAAAGAAAATTATAAGAATAACGATGATGGTGATAGGAGTAATAACGTTAATGATAGTAATGATGATATTGATAATAATCTTAATAAAATTAACAATAGTTATGATAATAATGATAATGATAATAGTAATAATAATTATGATAATGAATAATTATAATGATAATAATAATAATAATATAATAATAATAATAAAAAATCATAATGATGATAATGATCATAATAACAACAATAATAACCATGAGGAGAACAAAATAATCATAATAATAATGGAAATAGTAATGATAATAGCAATATAATAATACAACTAATGATAATGAAAATAATAATAACAATAATAATAATAATGATAATAATAATAATAATAATAAAGGTAATAACAGTGATAATCATGATAATAACAATGATAAAATATCTAATAATGATAATGAAAATAGTAATGACAATAACAATGATAATAATAATAATGAAATAATAATAATAATTACGATAATAAAGGTGACGTAATATTTGTAATAAGAATAATGATAAAAAACTAAAAATAACAACAACAAATGATCAGCATGTCCAATATATATCTATATCTATTATATGAATACATAAACGTGAAAAAACGCACACACACCCTCACACACTCACTCACACACACACACACACACACACACACACACACACACACACACACACATATATATATTGTGTGTGTGTGTGTATATATATATATATATATATATATATATATATATATATATATAATATAGTATATATATCTATAGGAACTTCCTTCATTGAATGGTGTGTTGATATTTTATTCAGTAGCAGAAAAAAGGCGTAGGATTCATATACCACCAGCGACAAGCGACACGAGAATATCCCGGAATCCTAAAGTATAGTATAAATACATTTTTCAAAAAGATAGAACTGAAGTGGACATGAAAGTGTCACTCTGGCAAGACACACGAAATTAACTTCATAATCACAAACAAGAGAACCATCATAAAAAACGCTGAAGTTGTAAATGAAGTAAAGTTTAATATAGACCACGGAAAAAGAAATAAACGAAAGCCGGCTCTTAAACCAGACAACTTGAAGACCAGGACGACAGAATTTAGTCTAAACATCCAAAATAGATTCTCCTTTCGCAATGGCATATTAAGCAAATCAATAAATACTTCAATGATATGATAAAGGAAGCTACACGAAATAGGTCCGTAAAAACATGAAGTAAAGGTTTGGTAAACTCTCGGTAGAAACTAAACAGCTTATGCAAAACCGTAGGGATGTGTGAATAACGTGAAGCAGGGACAAAACAGAATTAGCAGAAGTAACAGAGACTATCAGATTTGCATGTATCCTCCTTTTTGAGGATACATGCAAATCCGATATCTAAAAAAATGAAACGGTGATATCAGGCACCAGAATTAAAACAGCTGAAAAGAGATTTTGAATAAGGAAAAATCAACTGTACATAAAAATGAAACCAGGCGAAATAGTGACATATAAAACCGATGAAATTATGTAAGTAGTGGAAGTATTTTATAGGGGTTTATACAGCTATGACTAGCCACGGACATGAGTAAACGCAGCTGCTAGAGAGGTACCTACTAACATCGCAGCAGAGAGGAAAAAAAACTTAGAGGGATGAAAAATCTCAACGATAAAACTCAGAACACTTGGTAAACGAAGCAACTATTCTAACATACCAAACAAGCAAAATTCCATACGCCCCCTATTAGTTATCTACAAGCAGTGCACAAACGCCATCCCAGCTCGTATCTCCGACACACTAGCTTCTAACCAGCTTTGAAAACATGCATTCTAGCGCGTTGGATCCTCAGTAATATACCACATCCAAATATTAACTCATACGATTGAGAATAAAGGAATGTGAGAAACCCCTGTGTCTGGCATTCTTGATTAGTTGATTAAGAAAAAGGTATTTGACTCAACACTAATGGCAGTAGTATTAGAAGCTATTCGAAAAGGAGTATAGGAAATCTGTTGTAAAATACTGGGAGATATCTGCGATGATGGCGCAGTGGCCGTCGATATCCATACAAAAGAACTGAAAATAATCCCAATTAAAATAGATATTAGGTAGGTCGAGACTACCTCATTAAATATGTTTACAGCTCTCCTTGAGGAAACATCCATGAAGCTTGAATGGGGTGAAAATGGTATAACAAGGAAGAAGTCACACAAGGGACGATCTCTAATATTTGCACACAACATTGTTTCCTTGAGCGACTCTGCAAAGGCTCTTTAACAACTCAAAAACAATAGGTAAAGAATAGTCTCAAAGCTGGAGTGCCAGACTTGGCACGCAGAGTGCTTGTCTATGAGAGAGAGAGAGAGAGAGAGAGAGAGAGAGAGAGAGAGAGAGAGAGAGAGAGAGAGAGAGAGAGAGAGAGAGAGAGAGAGAGAGAGAGAGAGAGAGAGAGAGAGAGAGAAAGAGAGAGAGAGAGAGAGAGAGAGAGAGAGAGAGAGAATAAGTCTCATTATTATGGTCTTACCCTTAGCCCCCATTGCAGCAGGCTTACAATGGTGTGTCCAGATATTAATAAGGTGAGTATATATCGAAAAGTATAAAACGTATGTATTTTTGTTACAAATGCTACACAAATATTACATTTATGTTAAGCATGTGCAGGAAAATACACTTAGATATACAGTGCTGAAATAAAACTGGCACGCAAGTTTATTAATATGAAGGCATTCATTTTAAACTGGCACACTATGTTCAAAAGGTTGCCGACACCTGGCCTAAGAGATAGGATGAGGATAACGTGGATCAGGGAAAAGGCCAAAATAGAGGATAGATTTAGGAGCAACAAAAAGAAGAAATTGCAATGGGCGGGGCCAAAATGTAGGACAGATGGGAATGGAAGTAACAGACCGAGTTATAGTACACAAAAAACAGTGACGTGTGTGTGTGTGTGTGTGTGTGTGTGTGTGTGTGTGTGTGTGTGTGTGTGTGTGTGTGCGTGCGTGCGTGCGTGCGTGCGTGCGTGCGTGCGTGCGTGCGTGCGTGTGTGCGTGTGTGTGTGTGTGTGTGTGTATCAATATTATATTTTAATATTGATTTGAATTAATGGATATCTTTACACCACCGTATATCATGCAACATTTCATTGTCAAAAGAAATTGCAAACAAAAATCATGAACTGAAAATTGCTTTTGAAAACACACATTGTTTGCATTTAATATTCAAGGGCCATAAAGGTAACCGTATTATATAAAATCCATTTGGATGTTCCAATGATAATTGGTTAGATATAATGTGATAAAATGGAAACATTAAGTGTAGAAATTAATAGATATATAGATGATTAATGGTGAAGATAATAATTATGGTGATGATAATAATAACAATAACGATAATGGTAATAATTATAATGGTGATGATAATAATAATGATTTTAAAAATGATGTGGTGATGATGACGGTGATAATGATAATATTAATGTGTAATAATAGCAAAGATAACAACAAAGTAAGTAATAATGCTAATAAAAATAATGAAAATAATATTAATACTAATAAATAATGATAATCATAAGAGTGTAATGGGAATAAAAAAATAATATGATAATGATAATGAAAATATCGATAATAATAATAATAAGGATAATTACAACAGCAACAATAATAATGATGATGATAATAATAATAATAATAATAATAATAATAATAATAATAATAATAATAATAATAATAATAATAATAATAATAACAACAAAAATAACAACAACAATAATGATAACAATACCTATATATATATATATATATATAATATATATATATATATATATATATATATATATATGATGAAGATTTTCACAAAAAAAAAAGATTTATGACGTTAATGAAAGCAGTAGAAGCATCATGGGCCAACAAACTCACTTCATCACACTGACAAGAGACAATAAAACAAAGAAAATATACTCATAACAATTACCCCCACGTATCACCGAGCCACAAAGTGACCTTCGACTGCAACACGCAAAACACAGGATATCATCGTGCTTGCGTTGGCTTGTTTGCTTGTTGGCGGAGGAGATGAGTGGTTTCAAGCCACACGCGTGCATGCGGAACACACACACACGCATCTGTGGGTTGCTTTATGCTAGGTTGATTATGGATATTTGTGATTTTGAAGAACGTTTCATTGCTAATTGTGTTTTATTATTATTGTTGTTATGTTTAGTAGAACCTGCCTTACTGCGCATGAACAAGTTTTAGTCCAACTTTCACTAAAACACTCACTCCTGTTTGTGCCTGAACGTGGTATTCTAAAAATGTCTATTACGATAGTTTGTGAGCTCGAAAAATTCATACTCCTATAGCAATGTATGTCAGCTTTGTTATAAATGCATCATCTATTACGATAGTTTGTGAGCTCGAAAAATTCATACTCTATGTTATAAAATCGGCAATATGCATGTCAGCTACGTTTACCTGAATGCAAAATTCACTAAATATTCGAGAAATGTTAGCAAAGATACAAAACATAATTCAAAGGTAAGATTTATTTTTTTTCCTATGATCCAAATACATATATAATGGACAACATCAACAACCGGCACAACGAATAATATCTTATTACGAAATCAAAAAAGTGTAATTCTATCACAGTCGGTTAATACAGCTGTAGTACTTTACAGCCGTAGCACCACATCAGGTACGCATGATTGTTTCATGGCGTCGAATACTGCTGCAGAGAATCGAACCAGCGATCTCCTTTTAAAGACAAATATAAAAGTTTATATTTCTTAGAAGAAATATCCACCTAAGGTTTTCCTCATAAGGGGTCCCGTTTTCTCTCGCGGCGCTGCTTCGAATGTGTGACTGTAATAGATGGAGAAAAGTATGTTATTAACGTGTCGTAATCATTTATCAACACTTTTCCCCCATGTATTCAAATGTGAAAACAAAAATCAACAAACCCTTTTTTCTGTTACAAAAATCTAAAAACTACAAAAAACTAGAAAAGAAATGAATAAATAAAAAAGCAAAAAATCAACTCACCAAGTATGCATTCCATCCTCGACGACCATGTAGCCAGCAAGATTCCCGCATCTGTAGCAGTAATTCGGGGCAGAGAAGACGGTGACAACCTTCTCGTCGTGACACCACTGGAAACCGCCGTCCATCACCTGGTGCGCCCGTGTAACACACTCGAGCCCATTATCTGTAGATAAAAGAAGTCAAGGATCAGTGGGATTCCTAAGCTTACTCCGATCACGTAAACACTTTTCTTCAAACTACTTAATTGTGTCACTTTACATGGGCTTCTGCAAGGAAAAGGAAGGACTTACTGTGTGTAAAGTCGTGCGAGATGTCAGCCCCCCACATGTATCCAGCCCCGCGAGCGTTCATGCCCCAGCCAGCCCTCCATCCGGAATCGTCAGGGTCAGACCACAACAGATCACACATCGCGCCTTCATGTGGCAGTTCCTGAAACCTGTCCAGGATTCTGATTTGGTCTAAAGTGTCCAAGGAAGGCGACAAGCCACCGTGCATGCACAGAATGCTGTCGTCGACGACGGCCGAGAGAGGAAGCGTGTCGAAGACTGCCATGAAGTGCGACCACGCAGCCGACGTGTTGTAAATGCTGAAACATTCGTCGTAAAACCCGTAAACCTGGGTAGTTTGGCGGGATTCATGGTTGCCTCGCAGTAGGGTGACGCGCTGAGGGTATCGCAGCTGTAAGAAGCAAGAAAATAAATGAGTAAACAAAGAATAATGTGCATAACACATAAAAAAAAACATGTAAACATAAGAGATACACAGTATAACTGATTGAATCCCAATCGATAATCGTAACAGCAAAGATTAGTCAGTCCCTCACAGGCATGATCGATAAAGCAAACTGATCTTCCTTACATAAGCAAACCTAACTGCAGTCAAGAGAAATAAAAGCTAACCTTGAGCGCCAGCAGGAGGGAAACCACGACCACTGAGTAATATCCTCGGTCCACGTAGTCGCCCATGAAGAGATAATTGACCTCAGGTGGTTCTCCGGCCACTTTGAAGAGCTCCATCAGATCATAGAACTGCCCGTGGATGTCTCCGCAGATCGTGACGGGCGATGAAACCTCAACCAGATTGCTCTCCTCCACTAAAACCTCTTGCACCTGAGGACAAGAAAGGCAATTTATTAAATTAAACAAGGAAGATGATTCGTCTCTATAAAACTAATGAAATAAACTTAGTAAAATCAACTACACAATAATATAACGCTTTGGCCTTTACCTTCTTGCATAGGTTGTCAACTTCCTTCAGTGACAGAGGTTCTTTCTTCTTTAACTGGGCGATCCACGAATCCACATCGTTTGTAGAAGTCAACGACAGACTAGCCATTCCGTCGAAATCCATAATTTCGTCAATCATTCTGTTCTTCCTGTGCACAGCCAGCGGAGGGCGTATAAAGGGCAGCACTTTGAATCACAGCAGTCGTTATGAGCGTTAACCACTGCACAATGAAACCTCACACTCAAATGTCACTGTTATCTTTTTCTCTTTGCCAACAGGGAGGTATCACTTTTTTCTAATCCCGCTACTTATCAGAACTATAAATAGCAACCGGTAACAACAAAAATTTCTTGCCAAATGTCGTCCGTTCAGTGAGGGAGTTGAAAACTATTCGCGTGTGATCACTAGGAAGATTCAGTGTGTACTGACAGATTCAGGGTGTGAGTGTGTATATAAGCGGGCGAGTGAGTGAGGGGGGACCCGAGGGTGCAGGGTGAGGGAGCAAGCCGGGGAGGTGGGGGGACTGGGAAGGGTTGTAGCGTCAGGGAAGCGGGGGAGGGGGGGGGGTGAAGGTAGGATGACGTCATTCTGAGTCACACATTGCCTCCCCTTACCCGTCACCCTTCCTTTCCCAGCTCCCTTCTCCTTCCCCTTTTCCCCTCCCCTCTCTCGCTCCCCATGTACCTTCCTCTTTGCATAACAAACCCATATTCACGTGAATATCAACTTTGCAAAACTGATCTCGACCGGATTCCC